TAACCCAGCGGCGGGTGAGCGAGAGAGAGAGAGAGAGAGAGAGAGAGAGAGAGAGAGAGAGAGAGAGAGAAGAGAGAGAGAGAGAGAGAGGCATAGCTTAGCCCCTTAGCCTCTCAGCCTCTCAGCCCCCCTCTCTCCTAGTTTATAAGGCCTTGGGGCCTTTGTAGTTCCTCATTATTCAGCGGCGGGTTCGTTTCTTCTAACCCAGCGGCGGGTGAGCGAGAGAGAGAGAGAGAGAGAGAGAGAGAGAGAGAGAGAGAGAGAGAGAGAGAGAGAGAGAGAGAGAGAGAGAGAGAGCATAGCTTAGCCCCTTAGCCTCTCAGCCTCTCAGCCCCCCTCTCTCCTAGTTTATAAGGCCTTGGGGCCTTTGTAGTTCCTCATTATTCAGCGGCGGGTTCGTTTCTTCTAACCCAGCGGCTCGCGCCGGCCGCCTTCGGCGGCCGACGCTCGACAGCGCGGCCTTCGGCCGCGCGTGAGGGGTGGCAAGACACACTCAAAACAAGCAACTATAGGCATGCATACAAGCAAGGCACACACGACACTAGACTAGGAAAAGCAATGGAGCAAACGGAGCTCCGGGGGCCCGCGGACACTACATCTGGTCCGCGTCAAACACAGCAAGCAGGCCCGACAGCGTGCGATGGAGCTCCCGCACCAACACCGTGCCTGCGGCGATCGCCCCGGATCCAGTCCCTGCATGCAACAACCGGCGCAGCCCACGCACGGCCGAGCCAAGGGGCCCGACCCCCGCAAGCCCACCCGGCGCGGGCGCAGCCAACACGGGCGCTAGCAGCTCGGCGAGGCGATCAGCAGCCGCGAAGCAATCGTCCCGAGGGCCGCCCACCAGTGAGTCGCCCTGGGACAGGGCGGCATGACCATACATCTGCACCAGATGCACGACCCGCAGCGCCTCCGAGAGGCGCCAGATCTGACCAAGGGTCACCTCCGGCACCGCAACCGGACGCTGAGGTCCCAGCAGGGCCGAGAACGAGTGAGCCACACCTGCAGACGGGGGAGGGGGATCAACAGGCAGCAAGGACGGGTACTGTGCAGTCACGGGCCCACCAGCAGCAGTCAAAAACTCGACCCCCGCCACAGGGGGGACCCACGGGGCCCGGCGCTGATTCCCCGCCTGCGGGGTCGAAGCAGAGGGAACAAGAGGAGGAGGAGCAACCGCAGGAGGACAGGGGGCTGCCTGGGCGACAGGCGCAGCCGGGGGAGGCGCCACTGGTGTCTGAGCAACACGCGGGGAGTTGCTCTGGCTCGCCTGCCCGTTCCGCTCCTCGCGCACAGCAGCAGTTACCGCGCGCTGCAGGTCAGCCATCGTCACCGGCTGATCATACCCCCAGCCGCCACCTGGCTGACGCGGCCCCCACCAGCCGCCTCGGCCGCCGCGTTGCGCCGCCCAGTTCGCCTGAGAACCGCGGCGCCGCGGGGAATTGTGGCGGCGCCGGGACGTCGCGCGCTCGTCCTGACGCACGGGGGATTGGGGCCGCTGCTGACGGCGGCCAGGAGACTGCCGACGCGGAGCGGACGGTGCAGCGGGATTCGCCACCAGTGGTGCGACAGGAACAGCAACATGCGGCGCAGACGGACCCGCCGCATGCGGAGCCGACAGTGCAGCACCAGGCAGGGCAACAGGAGCAACTCCAGGCGGCGTAGGGGGAGCACCCGCAGACGGTGCAGGGGGCGCAACCACAGGTGGCGCGGGAGGTACAGCCGCGGCCAGAGCAGGAGCAGACCCAGCAAGCACAGGCGGAGGAGGCGCTAGCGTCTGAAGCGGTGCAGACAGAGGAGCCGGGGCGGCGGGAAGCGACGGCTGGCCCTGGACGTCAGTGGTGGCGGACCCCTCCGGCTGGGCCGCCACGCCGCCAGCAACAACCGCCTGTTCGGCAGCCGCAGACGGAGCGACGGGGTCGGCAACTCGAAGAGCGCCAGACGGAGCAGACACATCGGACGCCGCAGCGAGAGGGACAGGCGGCGCAACAGGAAGCGATGCAGACAGCGCGGGCGCCTGGTGACCACCGTCGCCAGGCAGAGACGCCAGGGCCTCGCGAAACGACGGTGCGGGGCGAGGAAGGATTTCAGCGCCTTCTGTCACGGGCTTCGGAGCAGGCGGCGTCGGGGAGCCCGTCGGCATGGTCCCCGTTCCGAAGGCAGGCGGTGGCCTTTCGTACGCAGCCGACGGAGCGCCAACGCGCATTGGCGAATAGTCGGTCGGCCCAGAAATCACCATCGAGGGGCCGAGGAGGGCGAGGTAGAGGGAGAGTAATAGCTAGCGGCGTAGGAGGTGGACCCGAGAATGGCTTCCAAGCGGCAGGGCGTCGGGCTTTAACAGCTCTGGAGAGAACTAATGAAGAGGAGGAGCGAGGGGATCCTTCTTATAGGGAGGAGCCTCTCCCACAAAGTGAAGATGACGAGGAAGAAACAGATGATGCTGGAGACAGACGAGGGACTGAGATACAAGCTGGTGAGCACGAGGCGGGCGGGGAAGGAGGAACGCATCAGGTCAATCGGACGGCTACGATCCCAACTCCTGGACAGAGCGATGCACCGAGGCGCATGCAGAGAAATCAGGTTGCGCGCTCTGGAAGCGCGTCAGCAAACCAAGCACATTTCCCCCGCTACTACTCGCCAGGGGAGTTGGCGAAGCGATCGGATCTGTTCGCAGCCATCGGTGATTGGGACCTAGAGGCACTATGCGACAGTCGTCAGCCATCCCTGTCACGCCGATTACCGCCCAATTTGTGTCAGCTGTTTTCACTGGTGTTACTCACCCCGCTCCTCCACCTCGCGCGAAATCCGGACTCAGTCGCAGGTTGGCGACTGCTGCTGTTTCTCCCACGGCTCACACTTCGCCAGCCGTCGCCAAGAACACCGAAGTGGCCCGAAGTCAAAGCCCGTCTCAGAGCTTTCCAGCGTGGCGAATGGGGGCAGCTGTACTCTGACGCGATCGAAGCCATCAACACCCCACCGCCTCCACGTCACCAGCCTGACGAGGCGGGAGTACTCAGCAGGGCGGAGGGCCTGGCTAAGCGAGGAAGCCTCCGCCGAGCCGTGCTGGCCCTCGAGTCAACCCCAGTCTGCACGCCTGGCCCGGGGGTCTTAGAGGAACTTCGCGCGAAACACCCCCGAGCCGACGACGAGCATCTGAGCTGGCCAACAACACCAGGCCCGAACCTTCAAATCAGCCACGCTGATTTCACCAAACTCCTGGGTCGTTGCGAAAATGGGGTGGGGACTGGACCGTCCGGAACCGCTTTCGAACACCTTCGCGACGCATCGGCAACCAACGCATCGGTCTGCACCCACCTGCATGCCCTAGTCAACACTATCCTGACGGGCAAATTACCCGAGCCAGTTGCAGACCTGCTGACGGCGTCGCGCCTAATCGCACTGTCTAAGCCAGGTGGGGGGGTTCGGCCAATTGCAATTGGCGAGTGCCTGACGCGCCTCGCGGCCAAGGCAGCTCTGACTGCAATTGGGGAAGCTGCACGTGACCATTTCCTGCCTCTACAGTACGGGGTGGCGGTACCTGGGGGAGCTGAAGCGAACATCCATGTCGCACGTGCCTTCGTTGACTCGAGGGACCGCTGCGTGGTGTTACAGACCGACATTTCAAATGCCTTTAATAGCATTTCGCGACAAGCAATCATCAACGGGATTTGCGACAGCAACCTTTCGTCACTGCTCCCCCTAGTTCGGCTAACGTACGGTAACCCTTCGAAGCTGTACCTCGACTCAAATTTCGCCAGCCACCCGCTGAACAGTGAACGCGGGGTGAGACAGGGGGACCCACTCGGCCCCCTACTGTTCGCAGCAGGGATCCACCCAGCACTTCGCGAAACTGCAGCTGCACACCCCCACGTTCTCTGCTTGGCGTATGCAGACGACGTGACATTTTTGGGGGATGACTCAGACACTGTAGCAGCATTCAACTTATTCACGAGCAAGTTAGCGCAGCTGGGTCTCACACATAATCCACAGAAATGTGTGGCATGGAGCACAGGAGGCGACGAGCCTATTCAGCTGCCGCCAGGGGTCCCGTTATCACAGGATGGGATACGCCTTCTAGGTAGCTTCCTGGGGCCAGCAGCGGGTGCGGCTACGATTCTTGGCAGGGCAGCTGGAGGAAATGGCTAAGCCGCTGCCACTGTTAGAACGTGCCGACCCCCAAGTAGCCTCCCTGCTACTGACCCGCTGCATTTCTAGACGCGTAGCATACCTCACTAGGACCACGCCACTGAATCTCCTGCCACGAGACACCTGGGCGCAGTGGGGGAGAGACCTTCTAGCAGCGCTCCTGACATCCTGCGGGATTAAAGTTTCAGAATAGCTAGGCAAGAATGATTGAACTAGCAGAAGTTTGGGTACAAATATGAAACCCTAGTTGGGGTTGTACCCCATATTGGCTACCCCACTACAGCCTACAAGCATAATACAGTTTAACACACCCCCATAGGCAAAGTGGGGGAGAACAAAGGGTCACAAGACCAGTCCAGCAAAGCAAAGCAAAGCCCAGGGTGGATCACAACGTCACCACACTCCGAGCACAAGTAAAGGCCACAAGGCCAGTTCACATGCAGTGCTAGATATAGTACAAGACAAGCAACACAGTGATCAAAACCTAGCAAGCAAGCAACAAGATATATATAAAGTACAGTACAAAGAATGTCAAGCAGTGAGCAAGTGAGGAAACGTGGACACAAGGCCTAAAGAAGTACAGTGCCGCTGATGATCACTAGGCGGGAGCGCCTTGGTGAAGATATCAGCAGTGTTGGCCTTCGAGTCCACGTACACAAGCCGAAGCTGACCGCGCTGCTGAAGCTCTCGAGCAAGAAAGTAGCGAAGAGCAATGTGCTTCGTCCTGTGCTCCAGTCTGTGCTCCTGACACAAGGCAAGAGCCGCCTTGTTGTCACCGTACAGAACTGGAGGAGAACTAGGCCGCTCTCCCAAGTCAGTCAGCAGGTAGGTGAGCCAGCGTAACTCCTGTGCAGCCATGGCTGTGGCGTAGATCTCAGCCTCACAACTAGAGCCGAGAACAGAGGAAGAGCGGGTGGACCGCCACGAGACAGAACCAGAGCCAAGGCTGAAGGTGTAACCCTGTGACGACCGCTGCGTAGCCAGGTCGTCCACCCAAGAAGCGTCCGAGTGACCAGTGAGGACAACTCTGTCACGTCCTCCAAGCACCAGCCCCATGCCTGATGTACTGCACAGGTAACGCAGCACCCTCTTAGCAGCCTCCCAGTGCTCTCGCCTGTGTCTCCCAGGCGCAACGTAACGAGCAAGGATGCTAAGAGGGTACGCGAGGTCAGGTCGCGTGCAAGTCATCAGGTACATGAGGCAGCCTACAAGCTCTGGGTACGGGCCACTCGGCTCTACGGACTCGTCCGAAGGTGGAGCTGAGAGCGAGTGGCTGGTAGCCAGAGGTGTGGCCTGTGGTGAGGAGAACTGGAAGCCGAAGCGCTGAAGGACCTGCTGCACCATGTGTGACTGAGTCAGGGTGATGGTGCGGCGAGCTCTGTCCCGGGTGATCTGCAAGCCAAGGTAGCTACGCAGTTCACCCAGGTCAGTGCAGGTGTGTCTCTTCTGCAGCTCCGACTTCACACGAGCGAGTGCCTCAGTGTCAGAAGTAGCAAAGACCAAGTCGTCGACGTACACGAGAATGTAGAACGGTGGCAGCGACGTGTCTGTGCGCAGAAACAGCGACGGGTCAGCAGTAGACGGCGCGAACCCAAGAGCCGCAAGCGTAGTCCTCAGTGTGTCGTGCCACTCACGTGGCGCCTGGCGGAGACCGTAGACTGGCCGGCGGAGACCGTAGACTGGCCGGCGGAGACTCCACTGGGTACCAGGGGGAAACGACCCAGTAAAGCCAGGTGGGCGGCGCAGCCAGATCTCCTCGTGCAAGCTGCCCTGCAGGAACGCTGTGCTGAAGTCAAGAGAGTGAAGCTCGTAGTCACGCTGAGCAGCAACGTGCAGCAGAACCCGAAGAGTGGTCATCTTCGGGGTGGGGGAGAAGGTCTGGAAGAAGTCGACCCCCTGACGCTGACTGAAGCCTCTAGCAACGTAACGAGCCTTGAAGACAGGCGGAGAACCTGGCGGCCGCTTCACCCTGAAAATCCACATGCCATCGACGATGTTCGCCCCAGGAGGGGGAACGTCGTCGACGTAGGTGCCTGTGGACTTCCAGGATGCCATCTCTGCGTCCATGGCTGTCTGCCACTGAGAGGAGTAGGGACCCGAGATCGCCTCTGCGTAAGTGCGCGGAGTGGGGATGTCTAGTGCATCCGGGTCTCCCTCAGGGGCAAGCAACCAGGCCACGAGATGAGGTACAGCAGCCGCAAGAGAGTCAAAGTCCTCCTGCCTGTCCTCAAGGACGTCCGTGCCAAGAGCACACTCACCCCCGACGGACGGAGGACAGACAGACGCAGACTCTGACTCAGCAACAAGGCTAGCAGCGTAGTCTAGACGACAGGCAGCAGCAAAGTCAACCAACTCAGCGACCAGAGCAGACGCAGCCGAGGACTCAAAGGTAGGGTCAGTGACAACAGTAGCGAGGAGACGCGTGACTGTAGGGTGCTCAGCGCGATACCGGTCAGACTCAGGGTCCGGAACGGCAGGCAAAGAGGACGCAGGAGGAGACGGTAGAGGGACACGCCGAGGAGCAGTAGAGGGACGCAGAGTCATGTAGTGAGTGCCTGGGACAGGAGGAGGACGCTCACGACGGACACGACTACCAGTGCGAGCAGGACGAACAGGCGACACAGGACGAGACTCAGGCTCACGACGCTCTGTAAGACCTCCTGTGGGACCAGCGTAAGGAGAGGGAGCAGGGAGAGGCGAGGCAGGCGGTAACTGTGACTGCGGCTGGACAGGCGGAGGACACTCTACGGAGGGAGGAGGACAAGGAGGAGGAGCCTGCCCAAGAACCTGCTGAAGGAGCGGTACGAAGTACGGTCGCGGCCGCGCAGCGTCTCCAGAAGCAGAAGAGACTCCAGCGGCCGGGTCCTCAGGACCAGCAGGAGCTCCAACGTCCGGGTCCCCAGCACCAGCAGCAGCGCCACCGCTCGGGTCCTCAGCTCCAGCAGCAGCTCCACCAGGCGGGTCCGCAGCACCAGCAGCAGCGCCACCCCCAGAGTCGGCAGCTCCAACTCCGCTAGCACCGCCAGCGCCAGAGTCCCCAGCTCCAGCAGCTCCAGTCGCAGTGCTCCCAGAACAACCAGTCCCGGCAGCTCCAGTACCCCCAGTACGAGCACCCCCAGGACGAGCAGCCCCAGCACCCCCAACTCCAGCCGAGCCACTAGGACGGCGAAAGCGCCGGACGTACCAGTCACGAAGCTGCTGCGGTGTGAGAGACTGCTCAGCACCCCGAACCGGAGCACCCCCAGACGCAGTAACCCGAGGCTCCGTAGGCTCAGTAGCAGCACCCCCAGGCTCAGTACCCGCAGGCTCAGTACCCGCAGGCTCAGCACCCCCAGTCGCAGCACCCCCAGGCTCAGCACCCCCAGGCGGCAAACTCTCAGGCACAGTACCCTCAGCTCCAGCACCCGTAGTCCCAGCACTCCCAGGCCCCGCACCCGCAGGCTCAGCACCCCCAGGCTCAGCACCCCCAGGCTCCGTACTCTCAGGCACCGTACCCTCAGCTCCAGCACCCTCAGTCCCAGCACCTGCAGCCCCAGCACCCCCAGGCCCAGCACCCCCAGGCTCAGCACCCCCAGGCTTAGCACCCCCAGCAGCACCACCCGCAGCAGCACCTGAGTCACCTGTGAACTCGACAGGCTCAGCGACGGGAGGAGGGTCTACCTGAGAGACACCTGAAGGAGCAGGACCCTGAGGGGGAAGGGGGTCTACCGGAGGGGGACCAGGAGCAAGGAAAAGCGGCGGGGGAGGGAGGGGGGCAGTACGGTAGGGGAAGAGACGGTAAAAAGGGACCGACTCGTCAAAGGTGACGTCCTGAGAGGCGAAGACCCGGCGCGAGGTGGGGTGGTAAAACTGCCAGCCCGGCGCGTCAGGGACAAAGCCAAGGAAGACACAGGGAAGCGTGCGGGAGGAGAGCTTGTCCGCGGACGTATCGCGGACAAGGGCACGAGCACCCCACACCCGGAAGCGCGACGCATCGCCAACCTCCCCCGTCCAACGCAGTGTGGGCGAGGTCTCCGGCAAGGAGACACGGGGCCAGAGGTTGAGCTGATGCGCGGCGTACCGGACAGCAAACGGCCACAGAAAATGGGGAGCCGCCGCGTGGACCAAGGAGGTACGAGCGACCTCCATGACCAGGCCAATGCGGCGCTCAGCAACCCCATTCTGCTGTGGGGAGTCCGGAAGCGTGAAGGTCTGCTCGATGCCCTCCGCCTGACAGAAGGTCCTCAAGAGATCGGAGGAAAACTCACCACCTCTGTCAGAGTGCAGACGCAGGACAGGAAGATCCGTCCGGAAACGGCGGCGGAGCTGGAGACGAACCGTGCGGATCCAAGGGATCAGAACAGCAGGGACCTCACCCTTGGTGCGCAAGGGGAAGACCGTGGTGTAACGCGAGTAGTCGTCGACAACCAGCAAAAAGTACCGCTCACCGCCCTGACCACGAACGCGGGCTGGGCCCCACACGTCCAGGTGGAGGGTCTGCAGAGGAGCCTCTGTCGGGGGGAACGAGGAGGAGTGAGGAGCGGCGCGCTGCCGCCCCTCGACGCAAGGAAGGCAAGGCGGCGCAGGCGAGGCAGGGAGGGGAGGGAGGGACCTGGGAAGACCAGACACAAGGTGGCGACGGTGCATGCCACGAAGGCGTGGCAAGGAGGGGTGACCCAGGCGGTGGTGCCAGAGAAGAGTCTGGTGCGACAGGGAACGACACTCACAGGCGTGGGCTACCAGACCTGACGCAGACACCTGACCGACAGCAGCGACCTGAGGAGACGCAGTGGTCAGTGTGTAGAGACTCGACCCCGGCCGACGGGTAAACGTAGCCAGGTGACGGCCGGTCCTGGAGCACGTGCAGATCGCCACACGCTGTCCTCCAGGGGTAAAGGTGTCAACCCACTGATCCTGGATGACAGCGTTGCTCACCAGGTTCGTCGAGAACGAGGGGAGGTGGAAACCCGACAACGAGCCAGACGGAACCGCCGGACAAGGGAGGACAGTGGTGGACTGGGCAAGGACTGGGCCCCCAGAGGGGTCAGCCAAGGAGACTGGGACCGGTGCAGGAAGCGGTGTGAGCTCAGTACTGTCACGAAAGAAGCAACGGGAAGCACCTGAGTCAAGGGTGAAGGTGTGACAGGCCTCAGCCGGTGCGGTACCTGAGAGAGGAGTCTGTGTGGGTGCTGTACCTGAGAGAGCAGACTCGAAACCAGCCGGGACAGCACTGGGGGGAGCAAGTACAGGGGGCACCATACCAGAGAGAGCAGACTCACTAGTACCCAGGGCAGCGGGCTCTATACCTGGGTCAGGCGGCACACACAAGTAACAGTCTCCCTCGGCACTAACAGTCAATGCATACATGGCAGCAATAATAGCATCATAGTCAAGAGCAAAGACATCAACACCAGCCCTCATGAGCTCAGCCCAGCGGGGGCGCTCAACATCCGCGCCCATCTCCTCACGCCAAGCGTCGTCAAGGCGGGAGAAGCAGCGGTACGGGGTGTGGAACCTCCCACACGTCTGTCCCTTGCGGTCACCTGTGCGAATGACATAAGAACAGCGGCCACTGCCCCCCGACGTCCCACGCTGAGCAAGCCACTCACGAAGCTGCTGGGTCGTCTGGGGACGCTGCTGCTGCTGGGAGCTCTGGCCCGAGCCAGTGCCTCCACTCCGACCGCCGCCGCCACCACTACCACCGCTCCGACCGCCACCGCCACCACCGCCACCGCCACCACCGCCACCGCCGCCACCGCCACCGCCGCCACTACTGCCACTGCTTCCGCCGCCGCCCCCGCCTCCACCACCGACCCCACTCCCACCAGCGCTCCCGCCACCGCTCCCTCCAGCACCGCCTCCCCCCCCACCTCCCCCACCTCCTCCCCCCCCAGCGCCACCACCACCACCCTTGCCCCCCTTGCCCTTGCCGGTGCGGCGCCTCCCACCAGGAGCAGAAGCAGCGCCAACAGACTCAGCACCAAGGAAGTCAACAGCAGCAGCAGCAGCGTAGGAGGGAGCGAGGGGAGAGGGAGAACACCCCTCAAAGATGGGGGTGCGAGGAGCGCCACGAGCAGCACCAACAGCTACAATGCTCTTTTCGGCCGCGAGCAGCTGCTCCTCTAGGAGGGCGACTGTGAGCTCAGTGGGACAGCGAGCAAGGAAGTGGTCTCGAACTGAGCGGAGGGTGTCAGGGAGACGGGTGACTATGAAGTGGAGTGTCCAGTACAGTGGAGGGGGGTTCTTAGCGCAGAACTCGGTGGGAAGGGCGGCACGCAGGCGAGCATCACTAGTGCGAAGGTGGGTGATAAGATCGGCGACTGTAGTAAAGGTGGACAGATCGGGGAACAGGTACGGCAGCATGAGGCGGCTAAGCTCGGCTGTGGCAGGCGAGGAGTAGCGAGCAACGACAGCATCGTACAGGGCCTTAGCGGATTTGCAGTCGCCAAAATGCTCGAGCTCAGCTAGCGGCAGGTGACTACGAATGGCTAGGCGAGCAGCTGCGTCACGAGTCTGCCAGTGGGAACGAACACTAAGTTCGGCTGTGGCAGCAGGAGCAGCGGCAGCACCAGACGCGTAGTCATAGAGGGAGATGTGGTCCGTGCTATTGCTCATAAGATACAACTGCAGGTCGTCGAGCCAGGAAGTGAACTGCACGGGACGGCCCTCAGCATCGAAGGAAAGAACGCGAATAGAGGCCATAGCTCAGGCGTGAGGGCACAGCAGAGCAGCGGCAGCAGCAGAGGGGACGCAGCAAGCGGGCAGTGAGGCAGCGGGCGGCGCTGCGAAGCAGGTAGCGGGCGGGCGGGCGGCGCTGCGAGCGGGCAGCGAAGCGGGCGGGCCGCGAAGCGGGCAGCGAGCGGGCGGGCGGGCTGCGAAGCGGGCAGCGGGGCGAGCGGGCTGCGAAGCGGGCGGGCCGCGAAGCGGGCAGCGAGCGGGCGGGCGGGCTGCGAAGTGGGCGGGCCGCGAAGCGGGCAGCGGGGCGAGCGGGCTGCGAGGCGGGCGGGCCGCGAAGCGGGCAGCGAGCGGGCGGGCGGGCTGCGAAGCGGGCGGGCCGCGAAGCGGGCAGCGAGCGAGCGGGCTGCGAAGCGGGCGGGCCGCGAAGCGGGCAGCGAGCGGGCGGGCGGGCCGCGAAGCGGGCAGCGAGCGGGCGAGCGGGCTGCGAAGCGGGCGGGCCGCGGAGCGGGCAGCGAGCGAGCGGGCTGCGAAGCGGGCGGGCCGCGAAGCGGGCAGCGAGCGGGCGGGCGGGCTGCGTGGCGGGCGGGCCGCGAAGCGGGCAGCGAGCGGGCGGGCGGGCTGCGAAGCGGGCAGCAGGACGAGCGGGCTGCGAGCGGGCGGCTCGGCGGGCGGGCGACACTGCGAGGGGCGCGCGAGGGCGCTAGTGAGGGGCGCGCGAGGGCGCTAGCAAGGGGCGCGCGAGGGCGCTAACGAGGGGCGCGCGAGGGCGCTAACGAGGGTGCGCGCGAGGGCGCTAACGAGGGGCGCGCGAGGGCGCTAACGAGGGCGCACGAGGGCGCTACGAGGCTAGGGTACGGGGTAGCGTGGTAACCGCATGCGAGCGGTGGTGGGCCCTTAAAAAAAACGGTCGGTAGGTCCTAGGGACCTCCTGCTCTGAATACCATTTCAGAATAGCTAGGCAAGAATGATTGAACTAGCAGAAGTTTGGGTACAAATATGAAACCCTAGTTGGGGTTGTACCCCATATTGGCTACCCCACTACAGCCTACAAGCATAATACAGTTTAACATAAAGTCCCTACCTGTAGCACGGAGCAGTCGAGAGTGTGGACGCAGGCTTCGCTTCCCTCATCCCTGGGCGGCTTAGGACTGACAGACCCACTCGTAGAAGGGGTCTACGGATTCGTAGCCAGCTTCACACAGGCCGCACTCTTCTTTTCCTCCCTGACGCTAGCGCCAGACACAGCACTGACCCGAGCACACAGCCACATGATTCTGCCCCGAGACAGCACCACACCGCTTCACTCCTGGCTCACAGAGTGCGAGACAGCCCTACCCTCAGACGCACGCGACGTAGTTGACCAGGAGCGGCTCTCTCGGTCGGACATCAAGCTCCAGCACACACTGGGCCTGAAAGTACAGGGGAGTAGATACGCGGTTCAGGTCCAGGAGACGAGGCAAATGAGACTGAATCCACTCTCCGGGCACACACAGAGAATGTTCTCACTCACAGGCTACGGCACAGGGGACTGGCTGACGGCGGTCCCGGTAGCTTCCTCACGTCGCATCGGCCCGGTACACTTCAGCAACGCCGTGCGCTTCCGGTTAGGCCTCCCTTTCTCCACCCCGAAGAATTGTGACTGTGCAGACCGCACCGCTATCACAGACCCGCGCCTCCCCAACCACCTCTTCCGCTGTGGCACGGGGAAGCACCGCACGAATACTCATAATGAGCTTCGCGACGCTTGCATCAGCATGGCGCAAGACGCGGGGTTCATCGTGCATCAGGAAACAAATGTTTACTGCCCCATAGAGGAGCAGACAGCGGATTTCACCATGACAGACAGAAGCAGTGGGGCAGTTTGGGTGTGTGATGTGACAGTTACAGACCCTATTAGTACCAGGGACCCGGAGGCCAAGAAAGGCAGGGGATGGGCGGCCCGGGAGCAGGCGGATAAGAAGATCAAGCACTATGAGAACCTGCCAGAGACAGTGGGCTTCTTCCCCCTCGCCGTAGAGACCTACGGCTGCCCTTGTGCGGAGGTCCCTGTGTTCCTGAAACTCCTTGCAGACACGGCGGCTCGGCGATACTTCAACGCCGACTCCAAATCCTATCATGCCGCTAAGTTTCTGCACCAGTTCAGGCAGAGGTGGTCGGTTGCACTGCAGAGGGCCCAATCCGTGGGACTCATGATCAAGTTAGGAGAGGCGGCAGCTGCAGAGAACCCGCCTGTAGGAGGGATAGGGCAAGAATTGTACCTAGGGGACTGCTTTACCGTCCTAGAGCCTCTTCTGGAGCTCTAGGTGGCTTAGTGGGGTTGGAAAGTCTAGGCTACCTTGCATGTTAGTACCTGCTGTCTCTCATTGCATGTAAGTACCCTTCTGGCTTATCAATATACGGACCATTAGAGAGAGAGAGAGAGAGAGAGAGAGAGAGAGAGAGAGAGAGAGAGAGAGAGAGAGAGAGAGAGAGAGAGAGAGAGAGAGAGAGAGAGAGAGAGAGAGAGAGACTTGCAGCCCAAAAGGAGAACCCTGCCCTAGGAGGCCCCGAGGGGTTCCTAGACCCGGGGGAGTGCTTTCCTACCCTGGAACCAGGGATTGGTAGTGAATAGTCATCTAGGGGGGGGGGGGGGGGGGGGGGGGAGAAGGAAGGGAATAGTTTTCATACCGTTTGTTGCATTTGCTGGCTTGCCTTTGCTGTTTTCTCTTTCCAATCAATACAAAGGACCGTTCGAGAGAGAGAGAGAGAGAGAGAGAGAGAGAGAGAGAGAGAGAGAGAGAGAGAGAGAGAGAGAGAGAGAGAGCCCTCTCAAGCCTCCCCTCAGCCTCCCTAGCCTCTCTAGCCCTAGTATAAAGGCCTTAGAGGCCTTGTTTCATCTTCATTATTCGGTTTTGGGTTCAGTTCTTCTCCCAAACCGAGCGGCTCGCGGGGACGGCAAGCACGTCACCAGCATCATCAACTTATATCATCAAGGCATACACACATGGCAGGAGGTTACACCTACTAGCGACAACATGGAGCAAGCACGTGCGGATCCTACATCTGATCCGCGTCAAGGACGGCGAGAAGACCCGTCGGAGAGCGATGAAGCTCGCGCACCACCACTGTGGTTGCGCCATTCAAGTCGACTGTAGTCCCTGCGCGCAAAAACCGGCGCAGCCCGCGGACTGTCGTCCCAAGCTGTCCAACGCCCGCAGCTCCACCCCGCGCGGGCGCAGCCAACACGGGCGCCAGGAGCTCGCCCAGCCGATCAGCGGCATCTAGGCACTTGTCCCGATGGCCACTGTCCAGAGTAACACCCTGGGCGAGAGCCGCATGACCATACACCTGAATCAGGTGAACAGCCCGCAGGCCCTCAGAGAGGCGCCACAGCTGCCCCAGAGATGCCTCCGGCACAAAAGCGGAAGAAGAGGGCCCCACCAGCAACTGTTGAGGTAGCGGAGCAGCCAACGGAGCAGGATCGACAGGCAGCAGAGATGGATACTGATCCGTCACGGGTCCCCCTTCCACAGGAGGAACCCACGGCAGGCGCATACAGTTCCCAAGTGCAGCAGCAGATGCTGAGGGAGCATGAGGAGGAGGAACGGCCGATTGGGGAAGAGGAGGCGCCGACGCATAGGGCGCAGCTGGAGGAAGAGACGCATGCATTGGAGCGACGCGAGGCGAATTGCTCTGGCTCACCTGCCCATTCCGCTCCTCGTGCACAGCAGCAGAAACAGCTCGCTGCAGATCGGCCATCGACACCGGCCGATCATACCCCCAGTTGCTAAGAGTGGTCAGGTCAGAATCAGCACATACCGTACCAGTAAGATCACAAGTGAAGCCCTAGTACCCGAATGTGGCATATCCAGGTTGTGTGACCTCGTTTGAAACCTACTGCAATCCTGCAATCCTCGTTGCAATGGTCTGCGATCCTGGAGAACTCTGTACAGTGGCTCACTCAGAGTCAGAAGCATCCCTGCACTGCACTCATCTTCGCCTGCCTCCTGTGACCCTCCCCCTCCCCCTCCCCCACTGCCCCCGTCTGGTGCTCTCCCCCGGCCCCTCACCTTTCCCTTCAACCTTACCACCCTTATCCTTCCCCTCCTTCCTCCAATCTCTATCCTCATCATCTTCCTCCTCCTCCTCACCTTCCTCCTCCTCCTCACCCTCATCCTCATCCTCCTCCTCCTCAACCTCCTCCTCAACCTCCTCTTCATCCTCCTCATCCTCCTCCTCATCCTCCTCCTCCTCCTCCTCCTCCTCCTATCCCCCCTCTCCCCCACCCAGCACCATGATTCGGGTTGCGGAACAAAGGTGCTGCGTCATCATCTGAATCAAACCCTTCTGAGTCGCTTCCGCTGTTGCCTGGGGTGAGAGATCGCCAAGGGGGAGGAGTGGAGAGGAGGGAATCAAGGCACGTTCGGATGTTTCCAGCTGGAGATTTTGAATGAGGGGGTTATAAATGGTGAAGCTGTATGGTACGGAATCTTCCAGTAAAACTGAACAAAAATTAGTAGGCGTTACCTGGGAAGGCATATCTGTGCATCACCTGGGGAAGGCACATCTGTGCATCACCTTGGGAAGACACATCTGTGCATCACCTGGGGAAGGCACATTTGTGCCGGCATGTCTGGCCTGAGCGAGCTCAGCCTCCCTCTCCATCCACCTGTGCTGCGCCGCTATCACCTCCGCTCCGTCCGCACACGCCGCATACGCCTCTAGCAGCTCACAGCATTTGCGAGCAAAGGAATGAGCGAAGGGACGAGCAAAGGGAGGGAGGAGCAGCGAGAGGGAAGGGAACGGGATGGTGGAGAGGAGGGAGGAGAGGAATGGTGAGGCTAACGTCTTTGCCTTGCTTGCACACACCACATACGTTGCCAACATCTCGCTGCAGGCAAAGGTGGGGAAGCGGTGGGAGGGGTTGAAGGCACAAGGTAGCGCAAGGTAGTGGTGGGTGGAGCAGAGGGATAATAGGGGACAAAGGGAGAGTGGAGGTGAGAGAAGGGCAGGGGAGAGAGAGAAGAGGAGGAAAAGTCAGAATGGGAGGAGGTAGTGACTGAAACGAAAGCTGAAGGAAGGGGCAAAGGGGGAGGCGTGGAAGGTACGGAAAGCAGAGAGACAGAGAGACAGGGGAAGGTCGAGCAATAAGGGAGAGAAAAGCGTGTAGAGAGAAATGAGGAGACGACTCGCCTATTAAGGGAGAGGAAGGCATGGCCCCACTTGAAGCGACTGAGCAGTTCCGATAATGTTTGCTTGTCCCCACTGCTTGGTAATGGGGAAGTGCATGGAGAGGAGGAAGATGCATGGAGAAGGGGGAGATGCATGGAGAGGAGGAAGATGCACGGAGAGGAGGAAGATGCATGGAGAGGAGGAAGATGAATTGTGAGAGTACGACGGCTTTGCTATGATTTACTAGCTTGATTATGCTTTATCTAGCTTAGCTTTGCTTTATTTTGCTTGCTTTTGCTAGATTTCCTAGGTTCGTTGCTTTACTATATTTATTATAGTTATAGGCACCGAACTAGGTTGAGTGCACCGAATTCTAGGCTTTTCGGTTGCCACCGAATTGCCTTCTACCGAATTCGGGAAGGACCCGTTCGGGACGCTTCGCGACCCGCGGAACCTTCTAGTAACACCAGGGTTACTGCCTTTGTGTCGAGCCTATATATAGCCTCGCCTTGTACCCAGGTGCATCATTCAATAGTTCAATCTTTCCTGAACCAGATCCTCACACTTGGTATCAGAGCGAAGGCCTCGGGTTCGAATCCCGGTGTGTGCACTTCGGGCATCCCAGTGCGGGGGGGTGTCAGAGGTCCACTGGTGATCCCTGATTGATCCTAGGGAAGGGTTACAGGCATGTTGGCCTGGGGGGTTATGGGCGCACTCACCCGCTATACAAACAAGCCCTTTTATCCCAGTGGTTAGTGGCTGGGATTCTGACATGGTATCAGAGCAGGTTTACACTCGAGTTCTTCTTCCGCTTAGTTCCGGCCTTTAAAAACCGCGGGGGCGACGACGGACGCGCCGATACGGGTATGTAAAACCAGTTCCGCGCGATTTTTTCTAAGTCCCCCTCGATTCGGTTTTGAACACCCCTCAGGAATATTGGTGAAAAAGTTGGAATTTCGATCGACATATCAAGTTTCTCCTCAACGGCCGAGATCGGACGCGAATTTCGCTTAGGGGAGATTACCGCGACATACAGAATTCGAGCTCGTCGATTCTACAGTCGATTCGACTCGCAGTAAGTCGACCAGCACCCGAAATTCAATTATTTTCGTCGCGCATCTTTCTGTAAATCGCCAATAGGGAGGGAAATAGAGATTTCTTTATACGAAAAATCGCGGAGTTACGTGCTGAGCATAAGCAGATATTTGCGGCGCTCCCACGACTCGAAAAACTCCTTGCGAACCAATCGGTAGCCGCAGCAGCAGCAGAAGCGACGACGGCGACACCGATAATTGTACCTGCGACAACGGCAGCAGCTACATTTAATCTCGAAGCAGTAAAGCCGAGGCGACCAGACGCGTTCGATCCTAGAGCGAAAGGGAGCGACGTCTGTCGATTTGTAGCTGTATTATAAAATTTCTTCGAAGCCGTTGGATGCACGACCCTCAACCAAGACGCATTGCGCATACGGCTCGCAGCAACACTGTTACGAGGCCCAGCTCTAGAGTGGTTTAGTAACCGAATAGTCCAAGGCGAAGAGACGTGGGCGCAGTTTCGGGCAGCACTGATCGGACAGTTCGACGCGTTGAACAGTAGCTACTACGGAACACGACGCAACAAGCCAACTAGTGGCATGGAGCGATTGGCATCACCCACGACTGCCGACCCGATGGAGAACGACAAGGACGATGCGACGCAGCGGCTAGCAAAAAATGCGACGTGCGAATTTTGCGGCGCTACAGGACATCGTATCTTGGCGTGTTGGAAAATGAAGAAAGTACGTACGGAGCTGAAGGGCAAGAACAGTGTAGCACCCCCGAAGCAGAAAACGGACAACGTGGCAACTTCGGAGAGGGCGAAAAAAGGAGAATACGGTGGCGCGAATTTAAAACGTCACGACCAGCCGGCACCAGGGGAAAACGCCGAGACAAATGGAGACTCCGCGAAACAAGACTCTGCACCGACTGGGAAACTCCAGCCGTACACCCCGACAAGTAAGAATATTACTTCTCGTGGTTTTCAAGCCTATTTTAAGGGAGAGTCAGAAATTAAACCGGTACCGGGTAGTATGGGGACCCTACTCCGGAGCGCTAATAAGGGTCGAGCGTTCCGAGGAGTTAATATTCTCTCCCAGCAGCCCTGTTCAAAGGCTCCCGGCCGTTCCCCACAGGAGCCTACACAGCTGCAAAGGCTTAGGGGAAGGTTCCAGGCCCTAGAGAAGCTGAATCGGCCTCGGATAAATCCTTCTATCCCTGCTAAGTTGGAAACTGAGTCAGCAGCTTCGAGCGCAGGACCAAGGGACGACACATTTGATCTACCTTATGATCCTGTAAGCAACACCATCTACACCTACTCGGAGCGGCAGCAGCCACTAGTACTCGAGGTGATCTGCAACGGGCGACGCCTCCAGGCACTGGTGGACAGTGGTGCGTCCCACTCGGTGTGCGACCGCGGGACGTTGGAGAAAATCGGAGAGTCATCGGAGGAGACCCAGTTTACAGCAACGATGGTGGACGGTACGAAGCTTCCCATCCACGGCGAGTCAACACTGCAGCTGCAGATAGGGGCGTTAAGGTGGAAGCCGACGTTGCCGATCACGAACATCAAGGGTTTAGATTTCATCTTGGGGCGTGATTTTCTGAAGCGGTTCAACCCCGAGATTGACAGGGTCAACCGGAAGGCGTGTATCTACAACAACGGGAAACGTGTGGAGCTGCGAAGCTGGACGGATACAGGGGATGTTCCTGAAACGACACTGGCGCGGTTCGAACGGACGGTGTATGAAAGTAACACGGGTTACTTAGCACTGGTTATGGCAGCAGCAGAGGAGGAAAAGCCGAACTCGGAGCTACCTGCAGCAGTAAAGGAGGTGTTGGAGCAGTACCAGGATATCATGCCAGACGACCTACCTGCAGGAGTACCTCCAGCGCGCACCCACGAGCACGAGATCGTGGAGGAACCAGGTGCGAATTCCGTCTCACGTGCACCATACCGACTGAGTCCGACCGAACAGACAGACATGAAGAAACAGATAGAGTATCTACTGGACAGACAACTGATCCGCCCATCCACCTCTCCCTACGGCGCACCGGTTCTCTTCACTCCAAAACCAGACGGTAGTTTACGGATGTGCATCGACTACCGCGCACTGAACAAACAGACAGTCAAGAACAAATACCCCATACCGCGCATAGACGATCTTCTAGACCAACTGCGTGGTGCGACGGTGTTTTCGAAGCTGGACCTACGGTCGGGTTACTGGCAGATCAAGATGGCGGACAACTCGATCCACAAGACGGCGTTCCGTACCAGATACGGCTCCTACGAGTACTTAGTGATGCCGTTCGGACTCTGCAACGCACCAGCGACGTTCCAAGCGGAGATGAACCACATCCTACGGCCCCTGCTGGACGAGTGCGTGGTAGTGTACCTGGACGACATATTGATCTACTCCAAAACCATGAAGGAGCACGTGGAGCATCTGCGGAAAGTCTTCGAGATCCTGCGGAAGAACAAGTTCTACGTGAAGCTGTCGAAAAGCGACTTCGCCCTGAAGAAGGTGCAGTTTCTCGGGCATATGGTGAGTGCCGAGGGCGTACACGTGGACCCGCGGAAGATCGAAGCTGTCAAGAAGTGGAAAGTTCCAGAGAACGTGAAGGAGTTGCAGCAGTTCCTAGGCTTCGCCAACTACTACAACAGGTTCGTGCCGCAGTACGCTAAGATAGCAGCGCCACTGACCAACCTACTGAAGAAGGATACGCCCTATAAATGGGATACTCCTCAACAGCAAGCCATGGAGCAGCTACAGACAGCACTGACTACAGCGCCAGTACTCATCCTACCGGACCCAGACAGAGACTACGTGGTGGAAGCAGACGCTAGTGACCAAGCAGTCGGAGTAGTACTGATGCAGGATCACGGACGCGGTTTGCAACCCATCGCCTACCTCAGTAAGAAGCTACACGGAGCAGAACTGAATTACCCCATCCATGACAAGGAAGCCTTAGCGATAGTCACAGCCTTCAAGGCGTGGAGGTGTTACCTAGAGGGAGCCAAGACTACAGTTTACACTGACCACTGCAGCCTCAAATACCTGAAGTCGCAGCCGACACTCTCACGACGACAGGTGCGGTGGGTAGACTTCTTGGAGACCCACTTCCACTACGACATCGTCTACAAGCCCGAGCTACACAACAAAGCAGACGCGTTGAGCCGCCCCGGTCACGTAGCAGGCATCCAGCTCGACGGGATGAACCCTCTACTCAAGGGTCTATTCCAACATGGATACTCCGTGGACGCAGAGATCGCTACAGCAGAGAAACAGAAGCTGTTACAGTGGGAGAATGACTTAGCTGTAAGAAAGGGATCGGGAAAGATTTGGGTACCGAACTATGCCCCGCTCCGACAGATCTTACTGGAGGAGTTCCACGACGTGGCATACGCGGGACATTTCGGGAGCAACAAGACGTTAGCAGGAATAGCGAAGTATTACTACTGGCCCCGGATGGCAGCAGACGTGCAGCAGTTCGTCACCTCATGCGACACGTGCCAGCGGATGAAGAGTAGCAAGCAGAAGAAAGCAGGGTTACTTCAGCCTCTACCCGTACCGGAGCAGCCATGGCAGGTCGTTAGCCTCGACTTCATCACAGGACTTCCCTCGACCTCACGGGGACATGATTCCATCCTCGTAGTGATCGATAAGTTCTCTAAAATGGGTCACTTCATACCGACCAACGCCACAGCTACTGCTGAAGCAACTGCTCGCCTCTTCTTCGACCGCATCATCACCATTCACGGCATCCCCGCTACACTCATCTCAGACATAAACCCAAAGTTCACTAGTAAGTTCTGGAGGGAACTCATGGGACTGTTGGGGACTAAGCTTGCGATGTCTTCAGCGTACCACCCCCAGACTGACGGACAGACTGAGCGACTCAATCAGGTGGTTGAACAGTTACTGCGCACAGCTTGCAAGGACGACATCAGCCACTGGGATCTACAGTTACCGACGCTTGAGTTCGCTTACAACAACGCTTCACATGC